ATATATCGAAGCTTACCGTATTTGCGAAATGGGAGAGAGGAAACTTTACGGTAATTACTTGTTTCCTCCGGAATCGCTGTAAAATACGTTACAACGTCTGAATACGAAGTATCAGGTGTTCGGTAATTTCCCGAGGAATCCCCCCTCCCCGACGCGAGAATTTGATCGGAACGCTGAAGCGCGTCCCGTAATTCAACGTAGACGTTCCATTAGCGGGCACAGAGGTCGACCTCGGCGACGGAGGATTTCAGGAAAGCGTTAATTCGTTATTCAGTCACTCCCGGCGGCGTATTTTAACGACGCTGGCAATCACATGCACGACGACCGTTAACTTCGTCGTCGTCGTTATTGTCGTCACATTCGTCAACGGGGCGGTCGCGCGCGTGAGACGGCTTCTTCTTACGCGCCGTTCGTTAATAAAGCGATTCGGTTTATTTCATCGGGCCGTCCTCACTTCGTCATCTCGTACGCGGGAAGCGGCGGCGCGTCGGAAATTTCGCGGTCTCGAACGCAACGCGAATAATGTCACTCGCCGGCGCACCGCGGAAAATTGCAAAGCGACTCTCGCGTGAAATCCCGACAAATTGCCGCGCACGAGAGGGTCCCGTTTCAAATACGCGAGGATACGACGAAAACAAACGGAATTGTAGAAAATGCGCGCGAGTATACAGTAAAAGAAAACCGTTGTTGCAATTGCGTCGCGAAAAATGTTCGAACAGTTGTATCAGTACTAACTCGCGTGACGACGCGCCACGAAGATGAAGAGAAAGCGAGGGAGCGAGACATCCACGGGAAATATATATTAAAGTCATCCTGGATTTTTTCCGTGGTTTACCAAACGGTTGGTTCGTGATCCCGGTGACAGGAGAAGATGCGCGCGTGCGAGTTTACGTGCGCCGTCTCGTTTCTTTCGGCCGATTTAGCGGTACGCGAGCGGAGGCGTCATCCGCGACCGCAGAAACTTCGTTTGCGCGGAATTGAATTAGAAATGAGATATTAGACTTCCGCGGCGTCTCCAGCCGCAAATTCGCCCGCGACGGGCGAATCTTCCAACCGGGTTCCGACCGGGCGTAGCTACAACGAATTATCAATCGATTCGGCGACTGCGATTCGATCGGCAACGCGTAATTCGTTCAGGACACGATAAAACTCCATTCCAACGAGGACCGCCGATGTTGTCGACTCAACCGCTTTTTCTCTGTATATTTAACGTGACAGCATTAATAGTGTCTGCAACTTCGATGTGTTCTTTTTTTCTCGGATATCGAAGCGCGAAACGACAATGCGATCGACGCGATGCCGTTGATTGATTTTCCTCGGTGTCGCGGAATATCCTCCGCAAAAGTCGACTGCGTTGCACCGGCGGATGGAAAAATGCGGCCGAGGAATCCCGGCTTTTTGCCACGGGGGATGCGCGCGTTTCTTCCTCGAGTCGCGAGGAATTCCTGGCGATTAGAGAGAGAGTCGACCCGAGAAGTCACGCTCCTTGTCACGGATCGAACGTGTGACATTTCGTGACTCCGGGACTTTTCCGTTCTCGCACAAAACGCGCGCAACCGTCCTCGCAGGCCTCGGTGCAATCAAGCCGCGATCGCATGCATGTCCCGTAGACACTTTCATAGGACAGCCGTAATTCTTTGCCCCTCACGGAACGTGTCTTTTTGCCGTAATACCGTCGATACACCGTTCTCCCCGTGCGGGGGGAAAAAACGAGCGCGGCGCGGTGTTGGAGAAATTTCGAAAAACACGACGAAGAGATGGGGAAAGTGAGAATACGCCGCTGAAATATTTATCATCTATTTCCGAGGCACGCCAGGTGATCTTTATATTTGCTCCACGTCCGAAAGAAGAGATATTCGTTGGGATGTTGAAATACGCAGAATTTAAATATATCGAATGATACGAGCGAATACGTGCAGTTGACGCGCCGCGATTTCTCCTGGAAATATCTTTAATGTTTATTTTAACGCGCTCGCCCATAGTAACTCCCGCGACGACGAAATTTTTTATCCGATACTCTCGTCCGAAATCGGAATATTCGGGGCGGGCACGCGTGTACGTTATAGCGCTCGTGGAGCCGGCCAGGACGATGATTCGCCAGCGTGGAATTTGGAGAATACCGCGCCGCGCGTTTTTCGAGAGCCATCCCTCCGTGGCTCGTATAAAAATAGTTCGTCCGATATTACACGCGGCTTGCTCGCGCCCGAATACCGACGCTAATTCCCATGCTGGCGCGGGGGAGAAAAAACGGTGATAATACTTCGCATCTCCGTGCGCGCGCTCGAGATAGATCAAATACATCTCGAGCTTTTAACGTTCGTGTGGTTCCCCCGGAAAGCCGTTTCGTGTACAGTCGCGCTCTCCCGGTCACAATTCTCACGGCAAATGTGACCTTTCTCTTCGAGTGAAAGCCAGCGTCAGCGTTCGTCTGCTGCTTCTCTCCCTTTTTAACGTATAAAAATGTCACCGGACAATTAATTCCTCGAAGCAAGATTTCTCGTTGATTCTTGAACCAACGCGTCTGTTGAGAGTAGAGACGAAAATCATCCGATCTGGTCGTGAGTTGCTCGGTAAATTACGGTAAGTCGCCTCGCAAAGTCGGTAAAATAATAATTCAGAAAAAAATTACGGAGATAAAAAATGTCTGGCTCGAAGGAAGCATTTCGCTTCTAAGGTGAAGAAAACGTTTGTTTAAACTCATATTTTCCGTAAAATATTTCGATACCGTAAGATTGGTATGCTATGTAGCATTTGTGTCATCTTGCTGTAATTGTACCATAAATAATCGTGACTTTGAGCCCGACGGTATGTTTACGTCTCCGCTCAGGAGAGTAATTGGTGCGGAACTTTTCGTTCAGATCTGTTGATTTTCCAAGCACTCGTAAAAATATTTCTCCTCACGTATCGGCGATCGACGAGCTCCGTGTGACGAGATATCATTTCGCGAGCGTCGGTGAGCCGACACGTCACCGCGTGAATTCGGGAGATCCGTGCCGGTGTCGGACCATTTCCCGCGGCGCGGACTTCCGTTACGATAAACAGAAAATATCACGGGCGTCGGAACCTCGGCGAGAAGTAGCGCGTTAACTCACAGGCTTTAGGAGTTTGTTATTTCGGTTTTGGCGTTAACTCCCGCGAGCCAACGACAAGAGACATTCGCCAGACCACCCTGAAATCGTTCCACCCTTCTCCTCCGCCCCGTGTCCCACCCGCCGGTTACTGACTTTCCACACTGCGTCGTGACCAATAGTGGCTGATGGTGCTGATGCTTCGGGCACGAAAATAACTAAAACACACGCCGTGTACGTGTATGACATACATATATATATATATGCGCATGCGTGCACGTGTACTCGCACGTGTGTGGTGCGCGCGCGCTTGTGTACGTTACGGCAACCAAGCGTGACGTAAGATTTTCCACGTTATAAACGGAAGTTTGATGCGATCTCGGAGGGAAACGCTGTATCAACTGGCGCGCGGGCGCGCGCTATCTCGGCGCTAACTCGTAATTCGGTTCGTAGCTCGGCGTAAATCGAATCTCGCGGCGTTTCAAATATTTATATCACGGCGCGCGATGAGAGATCTGCGCGTGCGCTCACGGCAGCTCCGAGATCCCCCCGTGTCTTCGCGAGACGATCGACGGTTCCGCGGGCAACAACGGCTGGGAAAATCCGCGGCGCCACGACGACGATGAGTGATAAGTCTGGTAGCGCGCGGCTGTTTTTACGGAGCCACCGGCGGGTCGAATCGCGCACGCGGCCCGCTATTAATCGCGTGGAATTCGTGTCGCGGCCTCTCGAGGGGGCTCTCCCCCTCGACACGAGAGGACGATCAAAAAGTCCTTACGTACCGCGGTGAACGGGACGCGCCGTAAGAGCGACGAGAGAGGCTCCCTTTTCTCTCTCTTCCAGCAGCGCGGGCCGGTTGCAAGAAACACTTTCAATGGACCACACGCGCGACGGCCTCGCGCTCGGCCAGTGCGCGCTTCTTACACGGTCAGGGGCTTATGTCATCTATCTTAGAGAGAGCTGCCCGTATTCAGCGGCGGCGCGACACTCCAATGCCCCGTTCACAGTGAGACCTTTATCCGCCGAAACGACGGAGGGCCCTTACAGCCCGGCCCGTGCACGCATCGCCAACTAACAGCGGCGGGGAGGATGAGCCCGCTTATTAACCTCTCCATCCGAGCGCTTCCGAGCCGATCACGGAGGAATCTAATGTCCCGACTGAATTGAAGAAGTGCGAAACCCGTGGGACGGTGAAATCCCCGTCAGATCGATCGAATGCGGAGACGCGCTGTTTTCATTAGATCACGTACTCTCTCCCTTTCTCTCTCTTAAATGGAATCAGTGATTGAATCAGTAAGACAATTTGTGTAACCGATAATCGGTGGATCTTCATTGACTTTTAGTGGAAATATTTCCATTCAATCCTTCCGTGTTTTACTTCACTGATTTTGGCCAGTGGAAGATTTACTGCAAATCGCTATCACGTGTCCCGCATAGTAGAAGTATTGTATATATGTACGTATATACGTTCAATCATGTATCATATTTGACATAGTTCGTAGTAACAAATTCGAGAGGCGGAGGTTTCGAGTATAACGAAATATTAACAAGTCCGTATCCGCAACAGGTGTAGTAAGCTTTTAACTTTTTGCCCTAAGCAATAAAATGTAACGTAATTTCTGACAAAATACGTTCCCCGCGCTGCTAAAAGCAGCGATAACGCTTAAATCCCAGGAATTGCGGCATTCGATAATGCTGGCGATCGCTTTTTGCTATGAATCACGTTACAATTTAGCGCCCGGAGCAGAAGGCTAACAGGCGGACGTATCGAGGGTCCGAACTAATTCAGAATATTTCAAATGAAATCATTAATAATACCTCAAGAATGATTAAGATAATAAAAAGGAAGATACACGAATAATATCTGTTTTCACAATTTCTGCAGTCAGATTTGCGAGAATTTTTATCATATCGATCTCCCGCTTGTTGCAGTGGCCCACGTGGTTTTTCCGGCCGGACCTACCGCTCGGCGGGCCGTTGCCGACGAGTCACGTTCCAAATTCGAGCAACGTTACTACGTCGTCGCCTCTGCCGTCTCGGACGCATCTGGACGTGGCGAAGGGACCGGAGCCACCTTCCAACAGCAACAAAGTCCATGGACAGACGCCAACGATATGCACGGTGAGTGACACGTGTTTGATCATTCGCGATTTGATCTTACCAACTGGACCGTGATAATCGCGCAGCCGTTGTCTCTCGCCGGCGGGGATTACCGGTCTTGCGACCGAATCTAGACTATCGGAAACTCCCGGGTAAATCGGAAACGTTGACGCGTATTTATAGATCGTTTTGAAGATGCGCACGCCGTTGGATTAAATCGTCGACCGCCCGACGCAAATTCAGAGCCGCGAAATCTATCTGCAGCTGCCGCGCCGACGGAAAATTATAGTTATTTCCGGCGCCAATAATACCTTTCCTCGGTTTTAACAAAGAAATCGTTATATCAATCACGACAATATATCGCCGGTATTATTTTTGCAATTAAAACCGAGAAAAGGGTATCGTTGGCGCCGAAAATAATTATAATTTTTATCAATGTGCGCGAACACGCTAAAACTTGATCTTCCTCGAAGAACCGAAATAACGTTCGCGAATTAGAATCCGCAGAGAAATTTTTTTGTATTTGCTTCACACGGCATAAATATGTCACCGGTGATACATTGACGGTGAATGTAGCAATGAAAAGGGGGAAGGAAAGGGAGCGCAAGAAGATCAATCAAAATTGCGAAACTTCGGGAGAAAAGAATGCGACAGGATAGAAACGAGGTCCTCCTTTGAGAAATTAATATTTTTCAAGCGTAACAATGTTCTCTCTATCGACCGATAGGTCTCCCCGAACAATAACGATTATTTTAAAATAACAATCGGCTATTAAATCACTCGGTAGTGAAATGCCGATAATGCGCGCGGGGTAAGCGATACCCGTGCGCTGGTCGGCGATTTTAATTAATGCACCGAATCGTTAATGGCGTCGATTATTCTCGACTGTGATTGTTATCAGCCCATCCGAGAGCGGTGGAGTCCGAGACCGCAAACTGCGTGCTACTACGCGGCCAAAATTGTAACTCGTGACACCAGCTCGTCGGGGGATTGTCGCGTGTTGCTCGAAAGCAAAAGGAGTCGCGCGTGCACCTCCCTCGCGACGCCATCGCTTCGTGCGTGGATCGACGCGTTTTGCCGCGCGACAAAAACGCGACGTAGTTGGCTAATTGAAAAGTACGACTGTTCTGCGGACTGTCGTAACAGCGTCGTAATAAGTGGCAATTTTGTATGAAATTGCGGGCCGCGTGTTTATGTTACATACGCGCGCAAACTTTTTATTTCGCGCGACGACGAGTTTTGTAACCTTCGACGACCGATCGATCGAGGTCGATCGTCACCCGTGACTCTCGATCCGCTTGTGTGCCCATACGAAGCGTGATTTACGGCGCGAATTGCGTCACTTCTCTCGCGATGTGTAGCGTGACAAAACTGGGAGGGAAGTATTATATATTCACGTCCACATTTTTATATAAGTACAAAATGAACGCGCTTGTATTATTCCAGAGCACAATATGAGAATTTCCATCACGCATAATTTCGGAAACATGCTCAATTCTTTTTACTGCGTTAGTCACAATTTCGAATTTTGAAAGCCTCCGTTCCATCCGACAGTTACTCTTCTTTTTCGCGCCATCGATTTCGTTACCTTCGCCGCGATTTTCCTTCTGACGTGTCGTCTTGAAAATCGAAATAGCCCCGCGCACCCTGACGTTTCGCGCGAATCGCGAATGGGACATACGCACGCGAATATCCTCTCCTCTTTTTCTCTCCTCTTCATATCTGTTCGTTGCGAGAACCGTCCGCGGATTATGCGGAATGTCGGCGAAGTTGAAAGAATCTGGATCGAGATCAGCACGATCGGCATACCGCGATCTCCGTAAACAGAGGCATTAGCGACGATTCCAATGCTAAAAATCATTCAGACGGAGGAAAAGAAATTAATTCCACTACGACTTCTTACTCACAGTTAGATCGCTTTGTACGTGTCGTTACGACGCGCACACAAGATATTTTCCGTCTCGCAACGTGTCATTATTCCGCTCGATTGACACCCGCTCGACGATTCCGTTCGTCCTCGCGTTACCGAGTCGCCGGAACTCATTATCGAGGCGGGAGGCTTATAACGGCCGGCGACATGGCACCGAAACGTACCGAACGTGTAACGTTACGGGCCTCGCGTGCTGCGATCGATATTCAATTTACAGTTTTGTCACACAACGGGTATTGGCTTTCGTGGAAATGGCTCGGCGCCGCGCCGATGCTGCTGCTTCGTATACACACAGACACACACCGTGGGAGTCGTCGCCACGACGTCGCCGTCGCCGTCGTGCGATGCCTGAAAACCCGCGTGGGCGGCGAGCGCCTCGTTAGAACGCTGTCGTGGCCGCTCGTTAGCGCCGATGATGCGCCTCACTCTCCGTTACCGGAGTCACTTAAACGCGATGTTTAATAAAGGCACGCGTCCAGGACTCGCGCGCCGGCGGGCCCTTCTTCGAGGTTCTCTCTCTCTCTCGCTCGCTTTGTCCTCCTCCGCTCGCACCGCGCCGCCACGATTGTTATCTGCGCGTCGCGTAAATCGCGACGTCCGGATATTAATTATCGCACGGGATCGCGGCCAGTCGCGGCGAATGATCGATCTGGTTGCCGCGATTGAGAACGGCACCCCGAGTGGGCGTCGGGAGGCCATTTATATCGGCCCACGACGTGCGAGAGAGAGAGAATACGCGATGGCTGTGTGGACCTTATCGAAGGCAATTTCGTTTCGAGATTAATCAGCCTGCGAACGCGCTCGAGATGTGATCCGTGAGGAGCGAAGAAAGTCGGCAGAACGAAGTCGGAACGTTTAACACACTAACTGTGCCGAATATGAGTCACCTTGTAGCCTCCGCGAGAAGAATCTCTCTCTGTTCCATATATCAACTACGGGTTCAATCGCATAGGTCTTTCTTGTAAATTTTGCTGAATAAGTAATATGTAATTAGTTGACATGTGAGAATAACATATTGATTTTGTAACGAAGTCAGAGTCCCCTGATGTTACTGCGGCAATCGACGTGTTAACCCTGACAGTAACATGTTAAGCCCATTCTTCCACCATAGCCGTAAGAGTATGCAGTAAGACGTAAACAGTTAGCAAATTGACCAATCACAGTCGATTATTCTTGAACCGTAAGAATCCAATTGGCCAATTAGCTTACCGATTACGTCTTACCGCATAAGCTATTGCAGAATGGGCTTTACAACTACAAAGTCTACACGCGTTTTCATTCCTCGTATCTTCTCTACGTTTCGTGCGAAACGCTATTCGCCATTGCTATTCCTCTATCAATCAGAAGAAAAAGTTGTGTCCATGTGTCATATATAACCGGTCTGATCCAATGAGATAATTGGTTTCTTGCCCACAATCCCGGTCTATAAAGACGATAAATAAAAATCGGCAATAAACTTAATAAATGTAATAAAAAAAAATAATAAACTTAATAATAAGTGTAAGTAATTAAAAAAATGCAAAACACCGTGATTTCTATATTTTTTTTTTTTTTCGTGATGTAGGCCTGGGAGACCTATAATGTTATCTCAGCGTCAAGACCGGGGGTGTTATTTTCAGGGTTGAGGATCCCCAAACGATCAGACTCGGAAAGCGACGCCGATACTGTTATATTTCCAGATGCGCGAGCACTTCGCTGTATAGCGACGGATGCGTGCGGGCTCGCGCTGAGAAATCCAGCGCGCGGTCGTGTCATTTGGCAGTTTATTTCTCTTCGTCCGTCGGTTTACGAGCGACGCGCCCGCACGCGGAAACGGAGCGATCACGCCCGGGCCTATCTTTTTTTATTTCTCTCATGAGTTATCATCCCGCCGAGCCGCTTATTCTTATTGTAGTCGGTCTCAGCGCAGTCGGCGAAGTCGTAAGGCAGGTATTACGCCCGCGAACCGTACCTCCATGTGCACTTTTCCGTGTATCGGTCATGTCGACGTGTGCGCGCGCGCGTGCGTGTACGGTCGCGCTAATAAATGTGCATCCGCGAGAAAGAGGAGGAATGGGAAAAGAGGAGAAAAAAAAATTGCCGTTCCGAGAAACAGTTACGGCAAATTGCGACCGCACAACGGAGGTACCCGGCGCGCGGTTACGCGATCCTCGATATTCTATCCGGATCGTTAACGGCGATAACGCGCAGTGATTTTATTTCGGAGGATCGAGAGAGAGAGAGAGAGAGATACTCTCCGCGCGCACGTTGGCGGTTGCTCGTCGAAATTCGAAGCACGCGGCGAACCTTACCCTCCGTGCGCGCACACACACACAGCCACCGTGTTCGATTTGGATAACATAACTGCCGTTGTGGCGGAATCAGTGCTGATCTCGATAGAAATAGCGCCGTATTTTGTGGTGACTGCATGCGTCGCTCTCTGCGTTATTTAGCTTCTTACGCGCTCGTCAGTCGACGACGACGGCGAAGGTGCCAGAGATCGGTTGACGCACGACGGTGGTTAAACGCTGAATAATGACGGGAAACGCTCGCTTTTCTCGCATTGTCCTTTTTCGACCGCTGGTGTACGCTCCGACGCAAGCGGCTCCCATTTCCGAGACTTACCTCGTCATTACCGGCAAGTTCGGCGTCCGGACTTTTATTCGAGCAACGAAGCCGCGCAAAAATAAGGTATCCGCGCGAGGGGGCAGTAGTTACTCTTCATTAGGCGCGCTCGCATTTCGGTTAAATCGAGCCTAAATGCAACTGGTACGAAATATTACGCGCCGCGGAAACATTTTATCCGGGCTCGAAAATGGAATAAAAATGTATCTTATCCGAGGCAGGGAGAGGGCGAGAGTGAGAGCGAGCGGGCGCGGGAGAAAGGGAGGTAACGAATTTATCGCGGCGATGTTAGAGGCGCGGCTTCGCGATACTTTTACGCGAGATATCGATGCAGTTAAATCGCGAGAATGGAGCCACCATTCACCGTTTCCTTCATACGTCACGGTGAGATTTTCGCCCAGCCGTCGGACGGTTTCGCGCATCGCCGGCGATCGTTACAATTACGAATCTCATAATGAAATTTCGTTAGCCGGCTTAACCGACAATT